ATGCAATTCTTTATTTCAGAGTCTTCAAAATATAAAGTTTGAAACACTAGGAGTCCTTTGGAGCAAAATTACTTGGTTGACTATTTTAAATACAGAGATGATGTAGAGGGAACTCTTTAAATACTTGGAGAACTTAATAGCGAGAGGGAAAAACATTTAAATAAGTAGCTAGGGGCATGGTCTTAGATGTTTCTACATTAATTCTCAAAGCATGGGAAATAAACAAGATGAACAGGAACTCTTACTACAGCAAAGCAAATATGCTATAATAGGTGTATAATATAATAAAATGTGGTGGAATGGGTTTCAAGATTGGAAGAAATAGAACAACAGTAAAAGAGTTGGAGTGTTATATCTCAAGAATGTTTACACCTCTGCGAGATCCATGACTTAAATCCTGGAAGACAGGTTGAGAGAATTTAGGCAAAAATTAAGGAGGAAGAAAACAACAAGGGAGCGTACTGCAAACCCTTAAGCCAGACTTGGGTGATGCCTTCCTGGAACAAATGACTACACATTCAGAAAGGAGAGATGTAATAGAAGTTGCAGATATACTGATATTTGTTGGAAGTCAAACTTTGCAAGAATATGAAGTCTAGCAAATCCTTCACATGCCAGCAGACAATTTCATTGTCCAGAAGGAGGAAAAATAGGCAAGAAGGGAAGTAGATCTTTTAGATCTGATTTTAACCAACAGTGGTCATCTGGATAATAGGGCAGAAGTTGTCAGGATCTTTAGTTGTTACACAATGGAAGCACAGAGTGAACTCGGGCTTCCTAGAGTGGTACAAAAAGCAATAAAGGTTTTTTAAAAAATATTCGTAGCAAAAGAGGAACTAAGAAATGGTAAGATGCCTTCGTGGAGAAGGTGGTGAAATGTGAATGGTTCCAAGAAAGGCAGAACTCTATCAGCACCTTCATTGCCCTGGCCTTCCCTCAAAAGGAAAACGGTGTTCATCCTGGGGAAAATGGAGAATATGGTGCTTTAAATTAAATACAGCACAGAATAGATAGAGGTAGTACAGGAGTACCTGGCTATACTGAATAAATCTCCAGACAAGAGTATTAAAAGAACTGGCAGAAGTAACCTCGGAACCACTGGCAATCATATTTAAGAATTCCTGGAGAACGAGACATTCAAGCGGACTTTAAAAAGGCAAATGTTGTCCTCATCTTCAGAAAGAGGGGGAAAAAAAGAATCCAAACAACTGCCACCCAGAATGCCTGATATCAATACCAGGAAAGATTCTAAAGCAGATAATAAACTAGGCATTGAGAAAGGGACATCATGATCACAAAAACTCAACATGGGTTCCTCAAAAACAGGTCATGCCAAACTATGTGTGTGTTTTTGAAATTACTGGTTAGGATTGGAATAAAAAATATTGTTGGGTTCACATTCCCAATGAAAACATCAATTTTGCAACTACTGCAATTAACACTGGGACAAAGCTCATCTTTACATGGGAACTCATACATTTCCAAAGCTTATTTTGTTTTTCAATGAAGAAAAAAACATGTACAGAACTATTTGAAAAATATGTATGATGCAAATATTTGAAAAAAACATAAATGTATTTACTTTTCTAAAAAGGAATAATAAACATTCTTACTTTAGGAAATTACCAAAAAATCCTATAATTTTGGGAGAAAATGTCTTAAATATTCACATTTTCATGCAAAAGAGGGAAAAAAATGTGGAACCAGATTGAACATGAATGCCAGTGGGATTCGGGGCAAACTGAAAATTGGTAGATGCATTATATGCCCACACAGCATCTGTTGCGTTCTTATCAAGATACCAGAGTTTTTTGATCAAACATGATTTCTTCACATTGTCACTTTAGATGTGCAAATTGCTGTGACATTTGAACTGAAAAAAATGATCAAAAGCAATTTATTAGTATACCAAGTAAAAACTTATTTTCATGATTTTGAATACACTAAGGTATGCAATTCAAATGTAAAAAAAAATAGTGGAGAGGTTGTCTACAGAAGAGCACTTGCTTTTGTGCAGAAACCCCCAGGTTTAATTTCTGTCATTTCTAGCTAGGATTGGGGAAATTTTTGCCTCCAATCCTGATAATTGCTTTCCAGTTCAATGTCACAAATACTTTGCTGGATGGAATAGTTGTTTGATAAGTCATCCCCTGAATAGCTTTCTTATATATGCACATATTAAATTGAAAATCTGTGATTCTAAGATAATAATAATAATAATGAACTATAAATCACATGTCTTTCAAGCTATCATTTATTGTGTGCCTTCAAATTCTTTTGTTATGGTATCCTAAAATGAGCCTCTCATGTGGTTTTTTGGGGCTGAAAGTGTGTGATTTGCCCAAGGTCAAGAAGTGGATTTCCATGGCAGAGTGGGGAGCTGAACTCCTTCCAGAGACATTGTCCAATGCTTGGACTACAAAACCATGCTGGCTTCATCAACAAATGTTAGTGCAACATAGTTATATGTGGCATGATAACAGTCATGAACATTTTATTATGAAAACTTTAAGCTTTCTTGGTAGTAAGTATCAGGAAATGGAATTATGTTGGCGGCAGGGATGAGAGTACATGCTGAAATTGCTTGAACAATTCACAATTTACGGTATTATATTTTGTTTATACCCCACTTTATCTCTCATACAGGAGACTCAAAGTGGTAGGGGATGCTTTGCAGCTAATAGTCCATCTGCCGATAGTGTAATTAATCCTATATTAGTTGTTAAGTGAACGTGAAGGAAATGGAAGAAGATGGTGTGAACTCTTGTGACTGTGTGCAACTTCAGTTGGCATGTTCTGATAATGGACTGGCCTTTGAGCCTATTCCCTTGTCATATGGAGAAATAATTATTAATTTCCCCACCCAATATTTCAAAGCCACTTGTGATATGAATCAGGCTGAAGATGCAAAAGTACATATACAAAAAGAATGGTTTGCTCTCAGGAAGGTGAAATATAAAACTGAATACTAATTTTTTATTGAAGGAATATACCAGAGAAGACTATACTTTTGGTGTAGGGGAAGGTAGGTGCTCATGAAGTACAAGTCAGCAGAGGTTGATAGGGAAATCTGTTTTCAGATATTGTGATAGGCATTTGAAGTTCACAGTGAAAATATCTGATTTTTGTGAAAAAAAATGCTTTGATTAAGCTGTAAACACAGGATAAGAATAATACTGAGCAATAATAGTGTTAACACAACAATGAACTACTTTGTTGATTTCTTTGGCACTCTTTATAAACTGTTTCAAAGATACTTCATTTAAACCTCCTTACATGACTTCAGTTCATAGAAGAGAAAATATGTATACAGTTTAAGAGTATATTTTAAGTCTGGAATATGTTTATATATATGAATGTCTTTAAAATGTTGTCCATACATAATTAATACAATTGCATATCCTGTTTCCCTTTTGCTTGTAATCAAGTGTTTTGGATTTTGGATTTTTTTTTCTGATTTTGGAATACATATATTTGAATATACATACATAATATATCTTTGAGACAAGTTATCTAAAGATAAAATTCATTTATGTTTCAGATACACGTTATACACATGGCTTGGAGATAATTTTATACAATCGTTTTGATAATTTTGTGCATGAAGAAAAGTTTGCATACATTGAACCATAAGAGAATAAAGATAACACTATGTCAATCATCGATGTGGACAATGTTAGAGTATTTCCAGTTTCAAAATTCTCAACAAGGGGTACTCCGCCTATACTTTATATTTTTAACTAATGAATCCTGAAATTTTTCATGTAGGAATTATTTTCAATGGAAACCACATTTTTTAGATAGAAGACTTTAATCAATGGGCGTGACACCGTGGTTGCTAATGCAATAAAGTATTTTAGAAAAGCATCTTTGAGGGAGCGAGACAGAGAGTGTGACTGACTGAGGGATCATATATGTGAATATGTGAATTTCATGTTGAAACAGATGAACTCATGTAAATCATAAGTATAAAATTAGGCACATCATCAACAGTTTGTACAAAAAATAACAAAAGGATCTCTGCCCATTTAGGCATTTTAAAAATTGAAAATCATGATGCATCCTTATTTTTTCCCTGCCAACAGTTTCCCTCTTTTGCTTTGATGTAACCACTATAAATTGTATGTAAGAACATGCTGGAAATTGCTGTTCTGTTTGCTTGGGTTAGTTTCATGGCTCTCTGTTTTAGTAGATGTAAGACTCTAATGTGGTTCATAAAAAAAGAAGAGAAAAGAAAAACCATGGTGAGAAGATTGGAAGTTTTCTATTTTTCTAGTTTTTATCTATTCTTTTACTCACTTTCTAAATCCCTTTCCCAGATCCCTAGAAATTTGGGTGGTTTAAATAATAATAATAATAATAATTATTATTATTATTATTATTATTATTATTATTATTATTATTATTATTATTGTCACTTTGACCCTTTCGCGTTAGACTCCCATACTATTCCTAATTTCTATTCTGTCTTTTTTCTTTTATTTCCTTTTAAGATGTAATCAAGAAAATAAATAAAAATCAATTGTAAAAAAAGTTGTGTTTTACTTTCAACATGATCAATTTGAGCATTATATATTCTGACATACAGTATTTGGCTGTGCTATATCCTTTAGACTTGTACAGTGTGTTTGCCAGTATGGTAAATTTGGATACTTTTGTGTTATGGAAATGCTATAAACTTGTAGAAATAATGGTAAATTCTTGTTTCTAATATGATGATTATCACTCTTGAAGACAGTTTTTAAAATTGGGAAAGGAAGGATTTACAGTAGTCTACCCAAATCATTATGCTTTTCTTCATTAAATACAAATTTTAAACATTGTAATAATACTTTATTTTCCTTTGAAATGGTCTGCAGGTTTCTCAGCTTGTTCAGAGCATTCAAGTATGTTCGTTAATTTATAAGACATTTAATGATAAATCTGGCCACGTTAAACCAGTAAATTCTGTTCCTTTTTCATGCCATGCTTTTTAAAACCTGAATTTTATTAATCCTCAGATTTGAATTTTGTGAACCTGCCTTTGCAGTTGGCAACTGCTTACAAATAGCATCAGACAGCCATCAGTACGATCGGATTTACTGCGGAGCTGGTGTACAAAAAGACCATGAGAACTATATGAAAATCTTACTGAAAATTGGAGGCATTCTTGTTATGCCTATAGAAGATCAGGTGATTTATGTCTTCTTGTTATATGTTTAATTAACACTGAAAATATAGTATTTCATATAGAACATTAATTACTCTTGTTGAAAATGAATATGGTGGTATATAACAGAAGAGCATGAGGAAATAATGACTGTAGGCAGAATACTCTTTCCTTTCCTGTGACCTCCAGAGGTGTGCTCCGCCTTGTACAATATGGCTTGTTTGAGAGTTTTCTCTGGTCCTTCCTCTGTTGCTTTTCAGTTCTACTCTAGGACAGTGGTTCTCAACCTTTCGAATGCCGTGACCCCTTAATACAGTTCCTCGTGTTGTGATTGACCCCCAACTATAAAATTACTTTCATTGCTATTTTGTAACTGTCATTTTGCTATTATTATGAATCCTAATGTAAATATCTGATATGCAGGATGTATTTTCACCCACCGGACCAAATTGGGCACAAATACCCGATACGCCCAAATCTCAATACTGGTGGGGTTGGTGGGAGGGGTGATTGATTTTGTCATTTGGGGGTTGTAATTGCTGGGATGTATAGTTCACCTACAGTCAAAGAGCATCCTGAACCTCCATCAATGATGGAATTGAACCAAACTTGGCACACAGAACTCCCGTGACCAACAGAAAATACTGGAAGGATTTGGTGGGCATTGACCTTGAGTTTTGGAGTTGTAGTTCGCCTACATCCAGAGATCACTGTGGATTCAAAAAATGATAGATTTGGACCAAACTTGTCACGAATACTCAATATGCCCAAATGTGAACACTACTGAAGTTTGGGGAAAATAGACCTTGGCCTTTGGGAGTTGTAGTTACTGGGATTTATAGTTCACCTACAATCAAAGAGTACTCTGAACTCCACTAACAATAGAATTGGGCACACAGAACCCCCATGACCAACAGAAAATACTGTGTTTTCTGGTGGTCTTTGGTGACCCCTCTGATGCCCCCTCACGACCCTCCCAGGGGTCCTGACCCCCAGATTGAGAAATGCTGCTCTAGGAGAACTGCCTCATCTGGTTATGAAATATTGTTTTGACATATCAACAAAGTATCAAAGATGATAGGGGATCTTATGTAGTACTTCTGCCCTGCTCTCAAGTAAGCTGCCTCTTCCTATTAAATATCCTCACTGTTATCATCATGCTTAACTCGCTCTTATTTATTGAGTACCTGCTATCCTTTCAGTACGCTTTGTGATTTTGTGTCCTATTTTATATAGAAAATGTTTTAACTCTAGGGCTGTTTCCAAGCCTTATGAACAAGGTGTATTTCCTAGTGGGTTTCTCAACATGCCCTACAGATAGATCGGAAGTATATAGAGCAGGTATCGGTGCTGTGAAACGGTGCAGCTCTAGCCATTCAGTACTCTCTCAACCCAATGCTATATCAAGAATCAGGGACAGGGCAGCTAGTTCTGTGTAATGCTGCTCTTACTATCATGGCTGTTTCCAGTGTACCTGGGCAATGCTGTCAAGTGTACGTCCTGGTAGCATCCAGAGACATAAAGTGTAAAGAAACGAGCAGCCGCTGCAACCGAGTGGTCTGTTTCTTTATAACACTTACATTTTTTAACAAAAGAGGAAATAAATTACATTTTAAAAAGTCCTGTGTTCTCATATCAAGTCATCTTAATTTATAAACTGGGCAATGCATAGATATAATTACCAGGCAGAAAAAACTTAAGGTTCTCTGTGATTGTATCCACATTACTCTGCTAACATTCAAATAATAAGCTTCTGTGGGACAAGAAGGATACTTCAGTACACTTCATGTTGAATGTCAGAATGCCAAAAGAACTACAACAAAAAGTATCCAGTGCCTTGGGAATTGTCTTAATAACTTAAACAGAGCAACCAGGATAAAAAGCTCTCCCATATTATACACACATACATATATATAAAATAGCTGAATCTAATGCTCAGTATAAAGATAAAACAAAACATTTTACATTTGAGGAGATTGAGACACGGTGAAACACGACTTGCTCAAGGTGACAGTAGTCCTAAGAAACCAGTCTTTCTCAATAATAACCCTTTCAAAAGCTTCTTCATAAATAAATAAATAAATAAATAAAACCAAACAGTTTGTTTTATTACTATATGTTATTGTCATATAGATGCTTTTTAGATTGAAAGGCTGACATGATCTCACTCCCTAATTTTGCAATGAGTTTTGAAAAAAAATTCATTGATCACACAGCCCTCGTATTATTTACTCATTGTCCTGAGCAATTTATAGATTTGCATGTATCAGATTTCAGTGTAAATGTATTGAGACTAATTATACAACATTTATTATATCAGAGATTGATAATATAAATGTATTAAGATTGTAACAGATGTTGTGTGTCTTATTACATTAGACCGACATATGGAGGTAGATACTCAAACCTTTTCAAAGTTAACAGGGTACATTCTTTTCAGGGTGCAGAAAGTGTTTCTAAGTTTTGTGATTACATGACATTACATTTATCAATACAGTATAAAAGTTACATGTTTTCTGTTCTCTTAGTTTAAGTTTGGGTGTTTGCTTGTGAGCAGAGGAACAGGTTTTATCCTCACAACCTGTTCCCCATCTTCTGAATAATGTCAGGACACATCATGGTAGCTTTTAATGGTATCAACTCCCTGAGTAAAGTGCTGGTTGTTGTTTATCTACCTTGTGTTTCACTTTAACACACACTTTTCCTTTTCCTTCTTTGCATTGAGAAAAAGGACAGAAGGAGTACTAGGCTTCTAACCATGCCAATTTCACTGAAGTCAAGACTCAACTACCGCCTGGAAGCACCAGCCAAATTTACTTTTTTTCTTATCACTCTTTCACTCCCTTAATTGAGAAGAGGAATAAAAAGTAAACCACATTCAGCTGGTGTTTCCAGGAGGTAGCTGAGTCCTGACTTCAGTTATCAGCCAGCTTCTGTAAATTGTAAATATGTAGATGAAATCATGTATTTAATCTCCTTGCGTCATGAAACCTCAATGATTTCATGCAGCTCACCCAAATCCTGAGAACTGGACAGAATACGTGGGAAAGCAAAAATATCCTTGCTGTTTCATTTGCTCCACTTGTGCAGCCAAGCAAGAGTGATACTAGCAAAAATGATACTGTTGGTCTACGTAAGTACCATTTGTTGTGGTTTTCCATGTGACACAGTTCTTGTTAGGTAGAGATGATATTTAAAACTTAAAGTTGTAAAAACATAAATTTTGTGTATGAAGGGGGGGTCACTTTTGATTGCTTCATTTTAGGGTCTGCTTCTGTCCCTCCTGGCATATTGGGTTGTAATTTAAGCATCAAAAATGGCATTCTGCTCATAGAGCTGTCAGGAAACGCAGGAATGATGTGAGATGCAGCAGAATGCTAAAGTTACGATAATTACGGACATGAGTGAAAATGTGCAGATAACACTTTTGAACTAAATGATGATCCCTCTAACAAGAGTATAGGAAAACTTCAGCCCTCCAGGTGTTTTGGACCAACTCCCAGAAATCCCAGCCACCTTATAGGCTGTTAGGGATTGTGGGAGTTGAAGTCGAAAATACCTGGAGGACTGAAGTTTGCCCATGCCTGCTCTAACAAATCCCCATCATATATAAACATAGCAGTCCCATTATATGATTATTCTTGACAGTCAATTTAACTCGGAAATGTTGAAACATTGTGACGAGCTGTAGGAAAAATAAACTAATCATAATGTGTTGATCTAGTAATGACCAAATCCAACTTTCATGTATCATAGGCCGATTTGGAGATCGAGTTAATACTCAGACAAGTGTGACTGAAAGAGGAAATCTTGGGTCAGTTGTGTGTCTTGGTGACATCATTGCTTATGTATTCTCTTCATGTTTTTGAAAGTAATTTAACAATGACCAAGCTTTTCTTGTGACACTGATGATAGAATTTGATTGATAAAAGAAGGTTTTATGCCTGAACTGAATAATGACAGTTATATTATTGTTCAGTAGAGACATAAAACCTCCTTTTATCAATGAAATACCATAAACTCTGTTGAGTGTAGCACAATATGGCTTAGATGATGTTGTTATAAATTTCTTTCCTGCCTGCCTGCCTTTATCTCTCACAATACAATTGGTGTAGCAGCAGCCATTTTTGATGACAGCAATTTGATACTAATTAATGAGATGTGTATATTAGTAAAAGTAAACATAGATAATGCTTCCATCTATACTGGGTGATCCATAGGAATTCCGGGAACTCTGTACCATTTTTCTAAACCCAGAAGGTGAGCAACTGTTGAAGGATCCAGGAGCACTTAAGCCCACTAGGAGAACCACACCTGTTCCTGATTTTTTTTGTTAAAAAATGCTTCCTCCAAACACTGTATGGTGGCATTTTTACCATGTTTTGGGGTTAAAAAAAAACCCTTCCCTAGCCCTAAATGGATCCTGAGGACCCACAAAATGTGTGTGTGGTGCATCCCCACATGCTGCTCTACTGTACATTTGGGAGCATTTTAGGCCAAATCAGAAATAATTTTTTAAAAGAAAAAATGCATTAAAATTAGGGGCCCTGGGAGCTACAATTTGCCAGTGTAAGTAAGTAAAACTTTATTTATATCCCACCCCATCTCCCTATGGGGACTCGGTGGACTGCAAGATACTGACCTTGTCCTGCACAAATAAATCTACACGCCAAAGGTGTTCTTTTTTATCTCTGGCATTTATCTTTGTATCTCTCTCGTTTATCTCATTTCTGAGCATCTGTTTGTATGGTATACCAATCTGATTTGGATTAGGGCTTTGAGGAGAAAGAATATATTTGATTGCCTCAAATAAATAATAAAATAAATAAGAATAAACAAAATAACTATAAATGAGAAGCATTCAGAAATATCTCAGAAGAAAGTTCAAGAGGTTTTTTTGTGTTTTGTTTTGTTTTGTTTTTGCTTTTATAAATTTGTGTTAAAATGTCTGTTCCATGACTATTTGAATACTGGACATTTAAAGTCTCAAACTTGTTTGACCCCCCCCCTTTTAACGTCTTTTTTCCAGTCTTAATGAGCAGAAAATACCTTATGTTATTATATAACATACTATATCTCATTCAAAACTGATTTAGCATAAAACAGAATGGCTGTTAAGAAAAATAAAGTCCTATCAGACCTGTTGAACTAGGTTAATCATTTAGATACCAGCCACTATAATGGTTTTTACAACATTAAATGAAGATATATTTTATATTGAGTTGGGGGCCGGGAAGGAGTCCTTCATAGTATTGTTTGATTGGTTTCACATTTAATCTTACACATTCATGATTATTCCCCATTGATTTTGGTGAGTCTGTTCTTGAATATGACTAAAGTTGGAACCAATGCCTTAAATCACTTCAAAATGTGCACCTTTTGGGAGCTTTACACATAATTGTTCAGCTTGTTAATTTAGTATTTTATTATGAGAACAATTCTAATTTTTCTTTCTTTTCAGCACCTTGTTCTGTTAGGAATCTACAAGATTTGGCACGGATCTACATTAGACGCACTCTTAGGAATTATATAAATGAAGAAATGCAAGCCAAGGGTATAGCTCAAAAGCCTCCACCAAAACGTAAACGCAGAAGGTGCCGTAGGCGCAGAATTAATACCTATGTGTTTGTAGGCAATCAGCTCATTCCTCAGCCTCTAGATAGTGAAGAAGATGAAAAGATGGAAGAAGACAACAAAGAAGAGGATGATAAAGAACACACTGAAGCCTTGAAGCCAGAAGAACCCCCACGAAATCTATTGAGAGAAAAAATTATGAGTCTTCCTCTTCCTGAATCGCTGAAAGCCTACTTGACATATTACAGAGAAAAGTAACTTTAAGTGAAGGTGATAATGCCTACTTGATAGTTCCATAATCCTTGAAATGTAGCATTTAATAAGAAATACATGGACAAATATTGGTAGTCTTTCAGGAAGACTGAGTATGATGATATGAAACATAACTTGTCTTAACTTTGCTACCAGCACTCCAATTCAGTGGTAGACTCCTATTTTAAATCCACTTTTCGTTATCTTTTTTGAAAAAAATATCTTTTAACTCTGATAGATATATATCCCAAAGCGGTATACAGCAGTAATTACGAATTTGCATGGTGAATCTTTTTGCTCCCTGACTAATTTGTATTGATGAGGGTTAGTGAAATTTTTTATGTGCAAATAACTGAACAACTGTTTGGAGACATCAGTAGGGGCTGTCTGCATTTATTCTCTAAAGAACATTCTTGAATGTGCAGATATTTTTCATCTCATATTGAATTGGAACCCTTTATTTTTTACCATGGCTATATTGCAATCATTGTTACTGTGTTGACGTGAATGTATTCCAAGGAATACATGAGTGCAATAACTGCAGACACTGAATGAGCTGGCTTTAATAAAAGGCGAACATTCATGTTCAGAAATATAAAATAGTCCTGCTATACTCTAATATTTCTTGCCAAAAGATCTAAAAAGTGACTGCTTATCTCAGAGCCTTAAGAAAACATGTTGTTGAGTGTCCTTTAAGAAGAAAAAATACAGATAATATAACCCATTTTCTTTAACACCATCCTATGATAGTCATAAAGTATTTCTCAACTTTACAGCATTTATGAAAATATGTGTTTAGTTTCTTTTTAAAGTTAATGGCACAGAAAACCTAATTCATATATAAAAGATTGTAATTTTGATTTCATCGACTATATTTACTACTTAATAGAGTAGAATGAGTAAAAAGATTAGCTTGTATTGCTTATTGGTATAGATGTAAAGAATTTGTTCACCAGGTGCACTTTACATGGATTCTGTACCTTATTTATCTCAGAAACAGGAAAAGCAAATAGTTCTTACAATGGTTATTGATACTCATCCTCCTGGAAACTATTGACATTGTAAGCTTGGGGGCTGACATTGTTTGAGTGTATCGTTCTATCTGCTGTTTTTTTCATTATTTAATTGGATTGATTGAAGAGGGTTGTTTTTCCTTTTTTGCATGATGAAGTATCTAATTTTCACTAGCTTTATAATTTTTAAACCTTAATGTAAAATATCAGTGGGATATTTTGAGTTCACAGCATGCTGTAAGAAGTGGATAGCATTAAAGCTACCTGATCTCCTAGGGCCCAATCAAAAGCATTCCTTATGAAGAGAGTTCCTGCACAATTCACTATTGTGGTTATATCATAATACAACGAAAATGCATAAAACAAAAATAAGATCAGAATAGACTGTGAACATTTTATATGTTCTCACAACCTGATACTTTAGTTGTAGATGGCAAGCAGTTATATTACACTTGATCTAAATGTCATGTTCTGTAATATCTACGATATTATAAACCTCTTGTTGAACACAATCTATGAAATAAGTGGTTTTAATTTCAGGTTTGATTTTAGGCAATGTTTCCTAGTCAAAGCTTTTTGACGTGGTAATTATCAAAAATCCATCTTCACAAAAACAAATTATTCTGGTTTGTTAACCAGCATATTAGGATGGTTTCTACAGATTTATTTTAGTTAGTAAACGTTGCTGGAAATAAGTGTGCCATCCTTGTTTCACAGCAATAAAAACTTAGAAAAAGCTTTCTGTATAACTACTGCAGTAATTCTGAAGGTTCATCTGTGGGAAGCATTTACTATAGCACATCTGTTTTACATGATAAGATTGAATGAGGTTTTAGGCATTTTGAAATTCAAGTTGTATTTTCTCGTCTTGAAATTTCATCATCTTTTCTCAGTAATCTGAATGCAAAATGTTAAATAATTGTCTTTCAAAATAGAACTTTATCTTTTGAATGACTTCAGTGTTTTCCCCATTCTGTTGTACTCTTCTTACTCAGATAGATAATAGATGTTATGAATATCCAGTATGTAATTTTATTTGAGTCACACAAACAATATTTCTTTTGTGTTTGTGAGTTTCTTTCACATTCTTGGATTTATATGTACTTTTAAAATAAAAGCATAAAATGGAAAACGAATCAAAATTAAATCTTTTGTCATAATTCCAATAAATTGTCTTGTGAGTTTGTGCTGACTTTTATTATTGTATCCACTTGTTTTACCTTGTTCAGTTTTGAGTTAGCTTGTTTATATAGCTTGCATATGATTAAAATTTCTGGCCTTTTTTCTTAAAGCTTGAACATCAAAATCAATATTGATTAATGTAATAAAAAGTCCTACATAACAAGTACCTAAATAACAAACAAACAAAAAAACACTAAGAAAGCCACACACAGCCTATTCTTGAATGACCAGTGGTTTTGTTCTCACATGGCAGTTAGGCTTGAATAGGACCGGGGGACCTATGTTAAAATCTACATAGCCATTAAAAACCAGTGGATGAGCTTGGATTAGTCACTTATGTTAGCGGATGAGTTTGAGTTAACCTAAGCTATCTAACCTGTTACCAGAGAATAATAATAATAATAATTATTATTATTATTATTATTATTATTATTATTATTATTATTCTGTTTCTTATCCACCTCTCCTCATGGCTCGAGGCAGATTACAGAATAATTAAAACACATAAACATAAAAATACCACAGATACACATAATGAAATGTACTTATATAAAATACATATTAAAATATACAAAACAGAGATTGAAGGACATAATACTGAAGAGAGACACTTCCCGTACAGAATGATGCTTTGAGATCCTCAAAACAGGTAAAAGTGTGAAAAATTAGTTCACTCTCGGATCAGTTTAAAACTTTGTCTTATTTGTACATAGCAGTTCCTACTGGCAACTGAAAAGGGACATTGATGTCAAACTCTACCTTGAAAATTAAAAATTCAGTTCTCAGAATAAATGATAAGGATCATCTGTATCCACATATTCTTTTTCAGATAGATAGTACAGGCAGTCCTCAAGTTACAAACAAATAGGTTCTGTAGGTTTGTTCCTATGCTGAATTTGTATGTAAGTCAGAACAGGTACATTTTAAGTATAACTCTAGCCAAATATACACGTGTGTGTGTGTTTGTGTGTAAGCTTTGGATAGCATAGGGAAGGGTTAACACCCAGTAACATTTGTTTTGCTAGCCCTGTGATAATTGGATTTTGAAAAAAATGATTTGTTGTGGAAACAAGGACTGGTTATAAAAGCTTTCTGGAGACACCTTTTCCCCATGATAACTTTCAGGAGTGAATTTCCTTTCTGAGGGGTAGATTTCTCTCACTTCCTATTGTCTCACCCTTGTTTTTAACTATGAGTCATTTGTTAGATGTTTGTAACTCAGGAACTGCCTGTACTTAGGTAGGGGTTTCTTTTCCCTGTACATGTCTTTGTAGAACCTGATATCTATGTTACTAAAAATGTCCTGTGTTGATGGAGATGTCTTGGTAGGATGGCAGTAGTGAGGCATCCTGAAAAATATGGAAAAGACCTATTTCTCTGTCTTGTTTAATTATTGACTTTTAACTAAGTGATAAAAAGGTCCACAAATTAAATTCTACAGTCACAGTAATCCATTTTATGTGTGAAATTAGCAGTGTTCCAAAACAGGAAATCTAGGAAGAATAAAGTTCCCCTCGTATTTATTACTCCCTTCACTGATTTCATTGTCATGCTTCTCAAGACTATACGGCATTGATTTTACACTTCGATTGTACTCTTACCCCTACCCACCATCAACCTGGAATAATGTGTTTAACTGAATTCCCTTTTCTATATTGCATATTACCCCCACATCCACAGGTTCAATATCCATAAAATGCTCCCTAAGAGTGATTGTGGGCCCCTTTAGGCTCTCTAATACAATTACATATTTTGCTTCCAGTCCACATGGGCCGGGACCAAACTTGGCCAGAGAACCCCCATGACCAACAGAAAATAATGGAGGGGTTGGGGGTTGTCCTTTTATTCTGGTAATTGGTTCGACAACATCCAGAGAGCACTGAACCCAGCCGACGACGGATCTGGACCAAACTAGGCACACAGACCCACCATGGCCAACTTTGAATACAGATGGGGCTTGGGGAGGATTGACCCATGATTTGGAGATTATAGTTCACCCACGTCTTTATGCATTTTCTAATGGGAGTATCCATAAAACAAAAGCAAAGACTTTTTTTCTAATAAATAGTGTTACAAATTACCAACCTAATATTACCTAACATCTAAAAACAAATAATGTCTTTTTCAAATAACCCGGGCATTGCCAGGTACCCACACTAGTACAGTAAGAAAAATTAGAGAACAAGTAATAAAAATAAAAGCATATGAAACCAAACAGAAACCCAATGAAACCCCGTGAGGACGAACCATTAAAGCTTAACCATACCCTTCTGAATTTCCCACTTCCCCAGATTTTTTTTCCCAATTCTCTAGGATGGCCTGTAAATAATAAATCTGGTTTCACCTCTGCTGGCCACGTCCTGAGGATGTGTCATGCAAGTGGATGTGGCTGCTAATTGGAATTGCACGTTACTATCTTATATCTGGCTTTCCATCTGTTTCCAGGAACAATTCTTAGTTTTCATTTTGACTTTCAAGGTTTAATAAGGATTATGCTACTTGAAAGAAACTTGTTTCTATAAGTGCATACCTAATTATCAATAAAGAGTCTCTTTTGGGGTGCTTTGCCTAAAGTGAAGCAGGTCATGAATGCATAGTGGGCCTGCTCAGTGTCTATAGTAGATGCCATTTCAGAGTGGCTGGGTATTTTAAGCTGATTTTTATGACTACCCTTTAGTTATATTGGCTTATTATTCTTGTAATTGCTTTAAGATTTGAATGGTGGTATAAATATGGAATAAATAGAATTTCTTTGCCTTATTGCCATAAGGGAACGCCCTTCCCATGGAGGTAAGATCAGCCCCCTCGCTGATGGTGTTTCGAAAAAGACTGAAGACCTGGATGTTCAAACAGGCATTTGGCTAATTCGGTACAATGAACTGATGACTAATGGATCGGTAATATGGACGATGAAATTGGATTATGATTTTAGTTAAGAGATGCACTGGATTATTATCGACGGGCCAATATTGTCTATTGTGTATGTTGTTTTTTATGGTTTTAATCTGAATATTGTTGTTGTTTGTACTGTTGTAAACCGCGTTGAGTCGCCAATTTAGGCTGAGAAACGGCGGTATACAAGCACAGTAATAAATAAATAAATAAATAAGGGAATAAAGCCTTCAGGAGGGAACTATCTCAGGTCTCTAGCTGTACTAAAAAAAAAATACTCTGAGATTTTGCTCTGCTCTCTAAAAAAAATACCTTCCATTGACTTTGTGGGACTGCAGTTCAGAGAAAGGGGTTGGGTGGGAATTCTGATTGTAGGGTTGGTGGAGAATTCAGACCTCCACAACAACAAAAAATGATTTGCTATTGTGCAGGCTCACCTATTGAATCAAAGTGCACCAACAGAATGCCAGCTGATGTACCTAAAAAATGTCTCCAATTTATGAAACCGAGAGAGGAGTCCATGTATCATATAGTATTTTAAATTCTTGTTTTTCCAGAAAGAGCATTTCAAACTGATTCCATGATCTTCTCCAAGATCAAATAGCAGTGGAAGTCAGTGTCCCCTGAAAACTGCTAAAGGGAAGGCACTTAAAAAATATACAAATAAAGACTGAACTACAACTCTAGAAACCAAAGTCTGTATTTTTCTTTAATCACAGAAACCCATCAGGTGACCTTGAGCATTTCATATCCTCTTAGATTCAGAAGAAAAGCAAAGGCAAACCATATCTGAACAAATTCTGCCAAGAAAAGTGTGGATGGATTTGTCCATAGATCTGTTTCCAGCTCCTAAATACCTCTTTTGTATGTATGCAGATTATTGTGGACTGTTGTGCTCATACTTTACATACATGATCCATTCTATGGTATTTATTCCCAAGAATTGATTAGTCAGTTGCATCAAAACCATAGCAACTCATTTTAAAATTGTGTATATCCACAAGAGGGCACTCTTGCCATTCAGGAGAACCAAGAAACAAGAACGGAGATGCCTGTCGAACTACTTGCATAATTAATACAGCTAACTGCAGATTTTCAAAGCTGTATAGAGAAGTCATTTGTGTAACAGATCCAGGTATATAACTAAAACCTCTACTCTGCTACAATCCATAAAAACAGAGAGAGAGAGCACACTTATAGCCAGCTTTTTCATATTTCATGGAATTTTCTGGTTAAAATAACCGCAACCTTCTTCATTTTATCAGATTAGTATCTCTTTTTCTCTCCAGTGTAAATTATAAATTGGGAAATGACTGCTGTATTTATTTTATGCCATATAAAACATCTGTTTGCTTTTCCTGACACAAAAGGAAGTGGGATCCCCTGTCCCTGCATGTATATTCAGCCCTCAAGTCATATTTATGCATTTTTCCATGGGCGCATCAATTTTTTGCTCTTTGATGTCGGTTCCCCATCCCTGTAGCTGATCATCTCTTGTGTTTCTCAGGAAGATAACTAGCTTGTGTAAACTTCTGGAAATTTATACCTTTTCCATCCCTTTGGTGTGTTTTGATTTTACCCTTCTGCTCTCCATAAATACTAAACCTACATAGAGGCATCATGTTGATAAGTTTTTTTTTCTCTTTAAATTCTTTTAATAAAATTTTATTAATTTATCACTTTATTACATACTATTACATTTTGTACATCAACCTCTTTAACATGTTATTTTATTATTTTACTCTGACATTTCTCCCCCTTTTTCTCATTTTTCCCCCTTTTTTCACCACAGTGCTCCCCTCCACCCATTTCAAGCCACCCTTCTTACATTTCATCTGTCCAAAATTTCATTTCTTCTTGTGACGGTAATTTTCCTTCCTTATTTTTTAATCCATTTACCACAAATCTTCCCATACAGCATCAAAATCGCTTTGTTTCCATATACCTTTTTTAACCTTTAATATACATGTCAATTTATCGTTTATTGCTATTTTCCATGCTTCTTTATACCACTCCTCTATTTGTATATTCATTTCTTTTTTCCAATTCCTTGCTATAAGCAGTCTTGCTATAGTTAGTAAGTTTGTTATCGCTTC